CTCTCCCCAGACATAAGTGCAATAGCCGGAAGTTGATCATCGGTCTGAGACATCCCTTGCCATCGGTTCATCGGTCTGAGACATCCCTTGCCCAGTCTGCGTCTGAATACACTTCTATACTTCGATCATTATTCCTTTGAAAAAGTAGCCCTTTGCCTGGAGTCATCTTTAGGTATCTCAAAATTCTGTAGACTGCATTCATGTATTCTTCCGTAGGGTTGTTCATGAATTGGCTAACAACACTAATAGAAAAACCAATGTCGGGTCGTGTGTGTGAGAGATAGATGAGTCGCCCCACGAGTCGCTGTTATCTCCCCTTATCCACAGGTGTGCTATTTTTTTCAGTGCCGATCTTCTTTTAGGGATCCATTGGAGTATCGACGGGTTTGCAACCGAGCATACATGTTTCCTTCAACAGGTCCAATGTTTATTTCCATTGTGACACAAATATTCCTCGTTTTGATCGAGCTAATTCCATGCCGAGAAAGAACTTTGGGTTTTTGAGGTCTTTGATTTCGATTTCCCGAAAGATAAGCTTTGTCAGGCTTGTGAGTTCTTCGTGATTTTCAGTGAGGATGATATCCTCGACGTATACGATTAAAATTGCAATCTTCTTTTCGGGAGAAGTTTTCACGAAGAGAGTGTGATCTGCCTGACATTGAGTATACCCGTGTTTTGTCACTGTTTTTGCAAATCTATCGAATCATGCTCGGGAAGATTGTTTAAGGCTGTACAATGATTTTTGGAGTTTGCAGACTTTGTTGTTTGGAAATGATACTTCTAGTCCGGGAGATGCTTCCATGTAAACTTCTTCTTCCAAAACGTCATTTAGGAAAGCATTTTTCACGTCAAGTTGACGTGGCTGTTAGTCTTCATTTGTCTCAACTGAGAGAAGGATTCTGATGGTGTTAAGTTTAGCTACAGGGGCAAAGGTTTCTTGGTAATCAATATCGTAGGACTGTGAAAAACCTTTTGTTATGAGACGTGTTTTTAATCTCTCCATTGTACCATCTGCCTTGTATTTGACTTTGAAGATTCATTTGCAGCCGATTGCTTTATTTCCCTTTGGCAGGGCGTGAACAGCGTATACGATTAAAATTGCAATCTTCTTTTCGGGAGAAGTTTTCACGAAGAGAGTGTGATCTGCCTGACATTGAGTATACCCGTGTTTTGTCACTGTTTTTGCAAATCTATCGAATCATGCTCGGGAAGATTGTTTAAGGCTGTACAATGATTTTTGGAGTTTGCAGACTTTGTTGTTTGGAAATGATACTTCTAGTCCGGGAGATGCTTCCATGTAAACTTCTTCTTCCAAAACGTCATTTAGGAAAGCATTTTTCACGTCAAGTTGACGTGGCTGTTAGTCTTCATTTGTCTCAACTGAGAGAAGGATTCTGATGGTGTTAAGTTTAGCTACAGGGGCAAAGGTTTCTTGGTAATCAATATCGTAGGACTGTGAAAAACCTTTTGTTATGAGACGTGTTTTTAATCTCTCCATTGTACCATCTGCCTTGTATTTGACTTTGAAGATTCATTTGCAGCCGATTGCTTTATTTCCCTTTGGCAGGTCTGAAACAGTCCATGTACCATTCTTTTGTAGGGCTCTTACCTCCTCATTGATGGTCGTTTTCCACCTCGAGTGTTTGAGAGTTTCATCAATTGTGTTTGGGACTTGTGTATTGTTGAATGTAGTGACATAGACTCGGTATGCTGAAGATAGTTTTTCATAGAACACAAAGTTGGAGATCGGATGCAGCGTGTGTTTTTGACTGTTTGTACCTGAGTAGAGGACGGAAGGACCTAACACCTTTCCTTAAAGCAATTGGAATGTCAGAGTCATCAATCATAGGTATAGTAGATTCATGCTCAAGTGTGTTCGTACCTGAGTGAATTTCTGTAGGAGTTGGATCAGGTTCTGACTCTTGGATTGGTGCTGGATGTGTTGGGTGATCTATGTGCGAGTTGGACACTTGAAGACTAGACGAAGACTGATTGTTAGATACATTTTCACATGAGTTGGATGAACTTGTTGAATCCGAGTAGGGAGATAATGAGTTCGGTTCAAGGGACAAAGATTTGATGTGTGGTGGTATGAACTCGTTATCCCCTCAAGACTGATATTCCCTTAAAGTCTCCCACTGAATATTAGAATTGGGGTAGGGAGATAATGAGTTCGGTTCAAGGGACGAAAATTTGGTGTGTGGTGGTATGAAATCGTTGTCCCCCCAAGATTGATATTCCCTTAAAGTCTCCCCATGAATATAGAATTTAGGTAGTAAGGCTGATTTTCAAAGAAGGTGACATCCATAGTGTTGTAGGTTTTTCTTGTGAGAGGAAAGTAGCACTTATACCTTTTTTGAAGAGGCGAGTAGCCGAGGAAAATACATTTAGTAGATTTAGGGTCAAGTTTGCTGCAATTGTGTGAATGAATGTGAACAAAGGAGGAGCAACCAAATACTTTGGTAGGTAGATTTTAGGTAATTGCCTTGGTGTGGGGAAATGATTTGAGAAGGAGTTGGACTGGACTTTGAAATTTGAGGACCCAATAATGCATCTTATTGATGAGGTAGGTTGCAGTGGATACAATGTCACCCCAAAAAACCTTAGGCACGTTAGAGGAAAACACAAGGCAGCTGGCCACCTCGAGAAGGTGGCAGTTTTTGTGTTTAATGATCCCATGTTGTTGACGAGTGCCGACACAAGAACTGAGATAGAGGATGCCTTTAGAGGATAGATAAGAGCCGAGGACGAAAGCGAAGTACTCCTTTGCATTATCAGTCTTGAGCGTCTGGATGGAGGGTTGGAATCGTGTTTGGATCATTGAGTAAAATTGTTCAAATATGTAACCGATTGCAGATTTATCTTTCATAAGAAATAACCACGTTAGTCGAGTGTGATCATCAATAAAGGAGAAAAACCACCGAGTCCCGGTAGGGGTTTTAACATGGGATGGGCCCCAGATATCGCTGTGAATGAGTGCAAAGGGCCGGGAAGGGTTGTGAATGAGTGCAATGGGCCGGGAAGGGGTGTAATCAACACGTGGAAATGACGTGCAAGTGTGTTTGGCAAGTTGACAAAATTCATATTGAAAAGAACGAACATTTTTATTGATAAATAACTTTGTAAATAATTTTGCAAGATACATAAAATTTGGATGGCCGAAACGAAAATGTCATAACATGATCTCGAAATTTTTTACTGACACTTGAATTGAAGACAAAATGATGGGTAAACAAATGTCCGCAGCGAGGTCGTGGTGGTGAAGTATCGTTGATGACGTAGAGACCCGAGCACATCTTAGCATTGTCAATCGTCATCCCCGAGTCCGCATCTTGAAATTCACACATGGTAGGGAAAAATTTAGCAATACACCTCAGATCACTAGTCAACTTTCCGATTGATATTAAATTGCAATTTAAAGTAGAAACATGAAGCACATATCGGAGTAGAATGTTTTGGGTGATGTGCACGGAGCGAAAGTCGGTGACTTTGGAGACAGAGCCATCGGCAACGCGAATGGTGGAGTTGTCTCCGCACGACATATAGTCATGGAGAAGGGAGACATCACCAGTCATGTGATGAGAAGCGTCGGAATCGATGATCCACTGATCGATGGATCCTTGATTGACTGTGAAGGCATGGTAGAACGTACCTTGATGCGCGAGCAGGCCAGTGATGGGGTTGGGAACAAACAGATCATGTGATTTGCCGATCAATTTGTGCAGCAAATCTAGTTGTTCTTTGTTGAATAGACTGGGCGTTGATGCAGGAAGGTCATCGGCAGCGACGACGCTGTTGGCACGGGGAGCGCAATCAGACCGAGGCTTCCAATTGGCTGGGTTTCCATGGAGCACCCCA